CTGTTACAAAAAGTGTCATTAATATTTGTTCTACAGGGTTCTTTTACAGTAGTATTTAAGGGGCCATCATTCTGCAGCATATTGCTTGTCCTAATTTATTTCTTTACTGAGAACATTTGGCAGGAGTTATTCAGAAATGTGAGTCCTAATGAACAACCTTCTTTGCATTTATGTGTTTACTTCACAATGAAATCGCTTAGCCTCCGAGCCATACTTGACATTTTAAACTGCATGGCTGTGCTGGAGCTTTGGAGGAAAAGGCTTACGAGGGTAATTCATTGTGGCAGAACAAATTTAGAAAGGAAGGGAAAAATTGGTGTTGAGAGGCCAGTGCTTATATGTGATGTTTCCATTTCAGTCGTTTGTAGAAATCTGAGATTTAAAAGTGCTGGCTGCATATTTGGGCAAAAGATCCGCTTAGAAGCTTGGCGTAAAATCAGAGTGGGGTTGGATTTAGCAGGATTCACACATTTTTATCTCGGTCCATATTTATGATCTTAGACTGATGCTATTCATGGAGCTCTAGGACTTCCCAACTCCTCCCCCTTCTACCCACAGATATCCTACCAGCTGGTTACCCTAGACCTAGGATACCCTATCTAGGCCTCTTTGGAGCCATCACAGCTGTATCTTCAACTTGGTTGGGGCTACCATGAACTTCTGCCAACTCCAGCATCCAGTGGTCTTTGGTGGTGTCAGAGAACAAGAAGTAGAAGCTCATAAAGACTTGTTTTGTTACTAATTTTGTATCCGTGAGCTGGGAAGTATGGATCTTCCCCTAATCCTTAGCTTGACAGGGAGAGTTCAGCGGTTAACCATTAATGGGATTAGTCCCAGAGAAGTCATAAAGCAGAGATTTTAGACTAAGTAAATATAATAATTCATTAGACCGAAGCTTGGGAATGCGCATAAATGGAAAGCAAAATGAAGGACATTATTTTTTCTCTCTTAATTAGAGGAGTTTTTCATGCAGATGTCAAGGGGAAAGAAGCTCTAGCAAAGTTTAAATCTCAGTACCTTTAATGTTATCAAATGAGAAACAAGTCTCAGGGAAATGGTTTATTTAAACGAGGCAGCCATTTTATGCGTGCCACTCTTAGAGATGCATATAGGAATTGTGTATGACATATCTTCAGTTCAGCTTTGTTACTCACTCGTGTTTATGTTCCTTAGTCAAAGCAGATTACTGTGTGTTCTATTTACTATTCATTCATATGGAGCTCTTTGTGTTAACCTTTATTTGATAAGGTATGGTTTTTGTATTGGAATTTTCTTGTCAAAGCCATTTCTGTATAAAGAAAAGAAGCTTAAATGGCTATTGAAATGTAAAATCCCAAACCGTCCTCACCGGAAGGCAAGATTAGAACATCTTATGATGATCAGGAATCCAAAAGCTCATTAAAAAAAGGAAAATGCAGGACAATGTAGCACTTTAAAGACTAACAAGATGGTTTATTAGATGATGAGCTTTCGTGGGCCAGACCCACTACCTCAGATCAAAATTAAAAAAAGGAACTTTCTTTGTGGGAAATGGAGAGTTTATTCTCCACTTACATAAAGGATGGTCCATAACGTCTCTCCTTAGGACAAGCTCCAGCAAGAAAAGGGGACAGAAAGGTTGTCTACATGCTCTGTTGTGCTAGCTTAAATTAAGGTGTGATTGTAAAATAATTCAGTTAAGCCAGTGCCATAGGCTGTGTGGATACACTTACTTCAGGGCTTAAGTTGGGGTGGGCAATAAAACAGCAGCTGTTCACCAGGGTTAGCCCCTGATAGGCCGCTGTCGCTATATTTACCTGCACCTCTGAAGGTATGGGTGATCGCAGCTCCCATTGGCGGGAAATGGCGATCTACGGCCAATGGGAAGTGTGGATCCCCTGTGTCTGTGGAAGCAGAGGTAAATATGGCAGTGTGGGGGCCCATCAGGGACTAACCCTGGCAGACTGGATCTGACCAGCAGGCCGGTATTTGCCCATCCCTGATTTAAGCAGAAGTGAGAAACATCCATGCTCTTGAGCAACATAGTTAAGATGACCTAAGCCCTTATGTAAATAGCCCTAGGTAGAAAGAAGAACTCCTCTGTTGACCTAGCTACCCCTTCTTAGGGAGGTGGATTTTTACCACTGCCTACTCTTCATCACTCACAGCAGCATGATCCAGATTCATCTGAATTGGTGGACATGAAGCCAGTCACTTATTATGTTCACCAGGCAGAAGTTTTGACTGGCTAGTTGGCGGGGAACTCGGCTAATCACAGCTCAGACATTACCTCCAGAGGAGACTTGTTGATGGAGCAATTAAATTTTTGATTGGGATACTTTTAACATTTTATTTAAAAATTGATTTGATTTTTTTAATTACTTTTACATTATTTCATGACAGCAGCAGTTGTAATGCATAAAAGATGCCACATTTTATCACAGTGTCCTAGTTTCTAAAGGAGTTCATTAGGATATAATAGAGAACATGGAAAATTTGTACTACTTCCAGACGGAAAACTCCTGCCTTTAATTGGCCATATAAGAATGTGCGTGAGTTTTCAGTTTGGGTTGGTTGGACCTATAATAAAAGGATGCTCATGTTGTTTATTTACTTTATTGGTCATGTAAGAATAGATCTTTTATTTTTATATTACATAGATCTTATTTTCTAGATCAGAGTAACTCCTGCTTCTGTGGTAAAACTGTTTGACACTTTAAACAAGTACAAAAAAAAAAAGCACTCATTATACTAATTAGCAGAGCAGCTGTTTTCAAAATGCAATGTTACCTTAGAAAGATCATTCCAAGTTTTGAAAATAGCTCCTCCTCTGTTTAGTACAGTGAGTTCTTTACTATGTTCTTCCTGAAAATGTTAAATGCTGAACTTTTTCATTACAATACAAACAAGAAAGCATAGAAATTAAGATAGGATGTTCCAAGCTATAGGTAAGTAGCAGCTGCTGCTCAACTTTAAAAATAGACTGTTTTGATTATGACATAATAGGACATTTTGATCTGATAGAACATGTCATATTATGCATTACAACTGCGGCTGCCATGAAATGATGTAAACATTAAATAAAAAAATTAAGTGAATCAAATTTTTATTTAAAATGAAATTTCAAAAGTTTCCAGAATAAACGCTTTCTGAAATGAAGACAATAAAGTTTCAAAGACTGTTTTATGGGAAACTCTGAAAATCAATATGGTATTGCAAAAAATAAATAAAATAAATTGAGTTTAGTCTTAATAGAATTTTCCAAAGAAAGGGTGGACGAAACGTTTTACAAGCAGCTGCCCTACTTAAACAGTGTCTCACCCCTTATGCCTATTCAAGAAACATGCTAAGAGAAGTATCTTTTTGGATGATAGAGTTGGTTATGAAAAGTTTGTAATGCCATATTTGTTTTAATGTGTAAATATAGAGCCAGATCCTGGGAACAGGTGAGCACCTATATATTTTTGTTGAGTCCGGGCTTTTGTTTTCCTGGGTTTATCACACAAATGATTTGTCTTTAGGTTTATTCCATGTGTGCATTTTGTTTTACAAACACATGGAGCGGCTCGGAATGAAATTTACCAAGCTGATGCCTTGTTTAGTTACTTTCGACCATTTCCCTTTTTCCCCTACTGGGACTCAGTAGGAAGGTATAGGAATATTATCTCTGGGTCCTCCAGCCCTGCCTGTGTTGATTATGTCTCTGTCATTTGTGTTCTCTTCAAGGAAGAATCAAACAATGACTGAGTAAATGCTTATTTTTGTTGCTAGTCCATTCACAACACTAGCGAGTTATGGATTGAATTGCTCCCCCTTGCTCCTTCCTTTTCCTGTTCCACCTCCTTTCTTCAAACACCTTCTCCTTAACCCAAGTCTGTGTTATGTAGCCTTTAAACACAACACTTAGATCACTCCTCTACGATGCACACGCAGAGTTTTCTGTCTGGTGAGCAATTACATTTCCAGCAAGCAGTATCAATTCTACATATTCTATAAGTAGAAATTCTTACACATGCATAAAGCCTGCATTAACCGCTGCCATTTGGTTGGTGCTCTCTAGACAAATCTCTTAGGCCCAGAGATGCTCAGGCACCTAAATCACTTTGATTTGAGAAGTGAAAGGTATTCAGGGACCTGAGGATTTGGTCCTAAGTTAACTGCATTAAAAAGCCTGATTGGCATAATCACACACTGGCACATTATAGGCCTGATTCCTTGGGCTCAGGTTTTTCCATTCCACATGGGTGACCTGCAAGGGATTATACTGCTCTAAGGCTAGAGTAACACAGCAGTGCATCAGGCCCAGTGCAATGCTGTTGTTTTACTCTTCTGTTTGGCTTCTCTTTGAATGTATGTCTTGTTGTATTTCATGGAGACACAGGAGTTGTATAATCCAAAGTTACTTAAAATCTGAACTTCATAGACTAAAGCCCTGCCTGGAGCTGTATGCACAACAGTCAATGTGGCGTTTCTCTCTGGCAGACACCCCCCGCTTGCTTCATTGCTTCTGACAATTTTAAGTCTGCCAAGAGTGAGGAGATACAGTAGCATGTCTCTGGCTCAGTATAAACATCCCACTACAACAGAGCATATATCTAGCCTCAGCTGACTCCGAGTACAACAGACTTCTCTGAAATGGCTGGCAGAAGCTGAGCAGGGTCTCCTAGGGGGTCGCAGACATCTTCTTCTGTCTCTGTAGTTAGAGAAATTCATAGACCCTCCTCCCCCCCAAACTTGTGCATCTGCTATACCAATGACAAG